ATAAATAAATAAATAAATAGTCTGCACTCTCACTAGAAGCTAAAAATGACTGAACTGGGGCTGTAGTACTTTGGAGATATCGCGAGAAAATAAAACACATTGGAAAAAGATCATACGCCGGGGAAAGCAGGCGGCGTTAGGAAACGAGGACAAGCACAGGCATGAGATGGAGTGACTCCACAAAGGAAACTACGGCCTTGCCTTTGCAAGACCTGAGCTGGGCTGTTAAGGATCAGACCTTTCCGATAAGATAGGTCTCACGTACCACCGATAAGATATTAAGCAGGAGGAGGCTTAATACGCGCCCCCCCCCCGCCAAAGACGGGTAGGTGGGTGGGGAACAGACGAATCCGGATGGGTTTGTCTTGCCAGGAATCTGGCGTGGCTTCAGTCACGTGACGAGGAAACGTCACAAATTGAAATCCAGATAACAGGAGGAAAAGTGGGGATCGTGGGGGACCTTTGGCGAGCGACGGGCAGAGGCCGGAGCAGGGCTCCTGGGAGTCGCGAAGGAGAAGGGAAAGGCACGGATGCAAGATCGAGGTGGAGGAGAAACGGGATTGCCCGGTGGGGAGGAAAATCGGAGGGTGGGTTTCCTGGCCGGGGAAACGTCTGAACGGGCCATTTTGCTGGGAAGAAGGACGGGAGAAGGAGGTGTCGAGACAGGCGGATTTCTCGGAGCCACTGGGAGCCGGGCTGCGAGTGCAAAGAGTGCAAAGTCCCACCGACTCCTAAAGGTGTGTTTATGGGCTGGTGGCAGTGGGTTTCCCACCACCCACTCTGTGTACAGGAGTGTTTCCCAGGCTTGGGTCCCCAGATGTCCTTGGACTACAACTCCCAGAAATCTTGGCCAGCACAGCGAGTGGCGAAGGCTTCTGGGAGTTGTAGTCCAAGAACATCTGGGGAGCCAAGTTTAGGAAGCACTGCTGTGTAGGGTTTTCTTCCGGTGACTAGCTAAGGACGTGTGGCGTGGCTCCCTCTCTCTGTCTAGGCAGCACTTCAGGAGGGGCTGAAGCAGGCAAGGGGTGGGTCTGTGTGTGGTGAGGAATCCAGCTGGCAATGTGAGGCAAGCTGGTGACAAAGGAAGAGGATAACAACAACAACAACGTCAGAACTGCAGAGCTGGAAGGGACCCTATGGGTTATGGAGTCCAGCCCCTGTCAAGGAGGCTCGGTGGGGAATTGAACTCCCAACCTCTGGCTCTGCAGCCAGATACTTTAAACCAGTGGTCCCCAACCTTGGGCCTCCAGATGTTCTTGGACTTCAACTCCCAGAAATCCTGGCCAGCAGAAGTGGAAGTGAAGGCTTCTGGGAGTTGCAGTCCAAGAACATCTAGAGGCCCAAGGTTGGGGACCACTGCTTTAAACCAATGGTTCTTAACCTTTGTTACTCGGATGTTTTTGAACTGCAACTCCCAGAAACCCCAGCCAGCACAGTTGGTGGTGAAGGCTTCTGGGAGTTGCAGTCCAAAACTCCTGAGTAACCCAAGGTTAAGAACCAGTGCTTTAAACCACTGAGCAGTTTCAAACCATTTGAAATAGAATGAGCACATGCTGTATGGCCAGTAAAAACATCATGAAATATTAAAGCCATAAAATTATGTTTAATTAAAAAAAAACAGTGTCAAGCTACTTTTTTTTAATTTAAACATAATATTAAATAGGGTACCAGGTTCCCATGGAGAGGACTATTAGCATATACTTGTCTATTACAAATCTTAATCACAATTGAATGTTTTCTTGTTTCTTTTCCTTTTTTTCTCTATAAATTCTTCAGTAGGATTTCTACTCTTCAATCCTTACTAGGAGTTTGTGGATTGAGCGAGGCCCACCCCGGTTCCCATTATCTCATCTTAGGAAAAATGGAGGTTATGTTGGATGACAACACAGGTAAGGGAACAAAACCACAAGCAATCGTAATTATGTACTTGCATTAAACTAGAATATGGAATGTCAGTTTTTTACAAGTACAGGTGGATCAAGCCAAAGGCCTAGTCCAGCTTCCTGTAAAAAATCTCGTGAACAGTTATACAAGAGGAGGATAGGATAGCTGACTTGGAAGGGGCTTATAAGGCCATCGAATCCAACCTCCTGCTCAAGGCAGGAATCTTCGTCAAAGCAGGTCTGACAGATGGTTGTCCTGTTTTGTCTTGTTTGTCTTGAATGCCTCCATTATTGGAGCACTCACCACCTCCTGAGGCAATGGGTTCCGTTGTCGTACTGCTCTAACAGCACAGGAGGGGGTACCTTCCTATGTTAATGTAGCGTAATTCTCTGAAGCTGATAGTTGTAGCCAGTTCATTGAGACACAACTGCAGTCCTGCTGACCACCTTTTCTTGCCTGTTCCTCTCAATTCAGGTTTTTCTAACATTACAATCAAGCAGGAAGAAGAAGAAGAAGAAGACAGGCCAGGGGACCAGGGATCTGATGGAAGTGTAAGCATGGCTAGCAGCCACTCAGGTGAGAGAGTCATTCACATAAACAGAATCATAAAATGCTGCCTTGTGTGAGGAATTGGTTCATAAAAAAAGCAAAGCAACGTGTGCTGCTTATATACCACCCCATAGCATTTAAAGCACTTTCTGGATGGTTTACAGATTTATTATGCAGGCTACACATTTGCCCCCACCCCACCCAGCAAGCTGGGTGCTCACTTTACCAACCTTGGAAGGATGGAAGGCAAGTCAACAGTAAAAGTTGGCTACCTGGGATTGAACCCCAGGCTGTGAGCAGTTTTGGCTGCAGTGAAGCAGTTTAACCACTGTGCCACTGGGGGTCATAATAGGGGTAAGCTCAGAGAACGGCATCTTATACTATATCATTTCATTTGCCAAGAACCCCAGCAGGGATTTTTTTAAAATCAATATTCACTCTCCCAAGGTTCAGGTAGGAAATTGTTCCCTTTACCTGGTCCTCTTGATTCAGATGTGGGCTTCTTTTTTGTACTGAGGCCAGAATTCCATTTAGGATAATATATTGGGACTCACATACTTAGCCTTGAAAAGTCTGGATTTGAATCCATGTTAATACTGAATTAGACTTGTCACTTTTTTCTGAGGGCCTCTTCATTCTTAGTCAGCTTGTGAAAAATTCTGTGGTCCAGTAATTCTTGTGGTTCTATATCCACCAAGCTTACCCAGTGCTTTTGAAAAATGGAAGGAACGAAATTGCTAGCAAATCATCTCCCAGTTAGAATTCTGATTTACACTGGTGTAAGTATAGTTACATAAAATGTAGTGGCAAATTACCACTGATTAAAAAGTTGCCCTTCACATAACTGGTCGCAGGCCAAGTCCTCAACTGGCATGCAACTTCGTACAGTATATGGGTGGCAGCACGTTAATTAGTGGCTATTCCACCCAAGGTTTGTACAATTATGTTTACACCATCCTAAATCCAGGTTAGTGTCCCTCACTGAAAAAAAAAAGAAGAATAGACTAGGAGCCTAGTGACAAACATGTCAATGTAATTATGTATTGAAATAGATCCGCTTTCTATAGGTGTTTCTCTGCCATGCATTCAAATTTATAAGGGGTTGTGAGGTTTTTGTTATTTTATCTTTTGGGTTTTCTCTCAATTTTCTTCCATGTGAGTTTGGAAAACTTAAAAGCTAAGTTTAGAAAAAGGATTGTATTGTTGTTGTTGTTGTTTTCATGTTCTTTCGCACATGTATCAAATACTTTGGTGGATTTCTTCTGATCCGTACCTTTCTCTTCTTTCCCTAACTTAACATCCAGTTCCAAAACGTGAGTTTGTTCACCATATGGAACAGGGGGAGTTGTCATCAGTACCAGATTCTCAGGAGTTGGAGAGAGTGGAAATCTCAGATGGCAAATCAGGTGATCAATCACATTTACAAAACCAACAAAACCTGTTTGTGAGTAAGAAACCCATTATAATGTTAGGAAGCTCGTTTTGGATCAGGGGTGCAGTAGTTGTGACAGAATCTTGACTGCAACGCTGCAGTTTAAGCACTGTGCCGCAAGGCTCCTTAAATTATTTTTTTATGTTTAAAGCACCATTTTTACAAATACAGCCTGCTCTCAGAAGTATAAAGAAAGCATGCTGCTCTTGAATTGAATCGTGGTTTAAATCACTATTCAGAAACAAATTATTTAATTATGTGATTTTTTTCTCTCCAAAAAGTGCAGTTTCTTACGAAAATCTTAATGTCTGTTTTTCACAGCTTCAAAATATTTTTATTGACTTACCCATTTTGAAAAAACAGTGGTTTATTGTGAAATAAATTCAAATGGGTTCTGCAGTTATATCCAATGATTTAGTTGTCAAAGGTCATTAAAACAAAAGTTTGCCAAGACAGACACTGGCAGCTGAACAGTCTGTTCAGAAAGTGTGACCTTTCAGTGAGAGAGAGAGATAAATTGCAAAGGAACAATAATTAGGGTTGCCACTCTGATGGAAGTGGCAGTAAGAGTAAAGCAAAGCAAAATGTGCTCTTAAACCACTCTCAGGGTGGTTTACAATTTTAATGATACAGGCTATACATAGCACTTCCAATTAGCTGGGCCCTCATTTTACCGACCAAGGAGCAAGCTGCAAGAATCTGCTAGTATCAAATGCAGACTGTGAGCAGAGTTTTGATGTAATTGTAATACAGTGGTGCCCCACATAGTGATGATAATCTATGCAGCAAAAATCGCTGCAAAGCGATTTCGTCGCTATGCGAAAATAAAAAGCCCATAGGAATGCATTAAAACCCGTTTAATGCGTTCCTATGGGCTTCAGACTCACCTTAAAGCGAAAATCCTCCATACGGCAGCCATTTTCGCTGCCCGGTAAGCGAGGAATCCGGGCAAAAACACAGCGGGCGCCCATTTTTTTAACCCGGCGGCCATTTTGGAACTGCCGATCAGCTGTTGGAAAATCATCACTATGTGATAATCGGTAAGCAAAACAGCGAACCGATCGTCGCAAAGCAATTTTTTCCCATTAAAAACATTGCAATGCGATCGCTTTTGCAATCGCAAAATCTTCATCGCTATGCGGATTCATCGTTAAACGGGGCTCCCATTAAGCGAGGCACCACTGTACTACAATTTAACCACTATGCCAAAGAGCTCGTTATGTAAGGAACCCATTCTAAGCTATCCTGAAGATATTTTTAAAAAATATACGTTTGCAAGTTTTAAACTGAGGGGCTCTGGAGTAGCAATTTGGATGCAAAAAAATAAAAATCCCTAAGGCTGCATGCAATCTCAAGACCACACCTTGACTACGGCTGGTCTAAAGGAATTAGAATACCCCCCCCCCCATTTTTAAAAAAAGAATCCTGAAGATTTTTATAGAGCTTCTTAGAATTTCCAAAAGCATCTCATTTTAAAGCGGCGGGGGGAATTCCAGGAATAATTTGTCAGAGTTGGAAAATAAGTCTGATCATATCTGTTATTTTTCACCTCTCTATATTGTTCCCTAAAAGTGTGTAACTCTGGAGATAGAAATCTAATTTGAGAACAGCAGTTGTTGCTTTTTCAGATTCAGATCTAGAGGAGAAACAATGGTTAATCTAAGCAATCTACATAATAGATTTCAGGTTCCCACAAAATTGAGGCTTCAGTTGAAGAACTTTTTGGCAATGCTCGCAACACTTTTTAAAAATTATGATATAAATATATGGTCTCATAATATAGAATTAGGGTTCTACATTTAAATCTTTGAATTTTAATGTATTTTACATTAAAGCTGTTAGAGAAAAGCTGTTTTAACAACAATTTTAAAAGCTACTCAGTAAAAAAATTGTAATTAAAAAGTTTAATCATTTTAATGAACTCTGAAACAATGTGGATTGACTGCACATATCTTGCAAGTTTGTCTGTTTGGATATAGTAACTAATTCAATCTGTGTGCACTGACTTGAATATATTTATTTGATTTGTTTTATTTCTAGACCAGCAGAGTAGGAAATGTTTTGCTCAGATTTCATCTCTTACAAATCATCAGACGGTCCACAGAGATAAACCATACAAATGCCTGGAGTGTGGAAAATCTTTCGTTTACAGTTCAGTTTTTGTGAACCACCAGAGAATCCACACGGGAGAGAAACCCTACAAATGCCAAGAGTGTTGGAAATGTTTTGCTCAGAATTCACAACTTGTGAGACATCAGGCGGTTCACACAGGAGAGAAGCCATTCAAATGCCTGGAGTGTGGAAAATGTCTTGCTTACAGGTCAGATCTTGTGAGGCACCAGAGAGTGCACACGAGTGAGAAACCCTACAAATGCCAGGAGTGTGGAAAAGGCTTTGCCCAGGTTTCCAACCTCGTGATGCATGAGAGAATCCACACTGGGGAGAAACCGTACAGATGCCAGCAGTGTGGGAAATGCTTTTCTTCCAGTTCACCTCTCCTAAACCATCAGAGAGTCCATACAGGAGAGAAACCATACAAATGTCAGTTGTGTGGGAAATCTTTCCCTTGGAATTCAAACCTTGTGAAGCATCAGACAGTCCACACAGGAGAGAAACCATATAAGTGCCAGGAGTGTGGGAAATGTTTTTCTTACACCTCAGATCTTGTGAGCCACCAAAGAGTCCACACAGGAGAAAAACCCTACAAATGCCATGAGTGCGGAAAGTGCTTTGGTTCCACTTCAGTCCTTGTGATTCATCAGAGGGTTCACACAGGAGAGAAACCATACAAATGTCAGGAGTGTGAGAAATGTTTTGCTCAGAATGCACAGCTTGTGAGACACAAGAAAGTGCACACAGGAGAGAAACCATATAAATGCGAGCAGTGTGGAAAGCAGTTTGCTCAGAACTCACACCTTATGAAGCATCAGGCTGTCCACATAAGGGAAGAACCTTTATAAATGCTAGGAGTGTAGGAAATTATTTAATTCCAGTGAAGTCCCTGTGAAATACCAGAGATGCCCCTATGCTAGTATTATGGAACCTCTTAAACCATCTGGGAGATGACACAGGAAACTATCCAGTGAAATGTCAAACATGTGGAGAAATCTTTTGTTTAGAGAGACAACCTGGCAAAGCCAAATTGTTCAGGCCAAATCTGAAGGATGCCAGAACAGCACCTACAGCTGATCGGTAGATGAAACGGGAAATTTTCTGTCTTGCAGCTTTAATACCATTTCTGTTCATCCCTGAATAGTCTTGCTTCCGATTGCCACAAACATCATATCTGTTTAATAACTTTACAAATATTTTTCTATTGTTTATAATATCATTGATGCTGTTCCGGATATATTTTGCTGACAGTACATATTGAATATTTTGTATAACATCATTCTTGTTGTTGCGTAGTTAATGTGCCTTTTCTTTGGAGCGGCTGCAGGATCCTTGAAATAACACCACGCAGATGGTAATTTCCTCCAAGAATACCCTCACAAGACCCTCCCTCCAAAAACAAAACTGAAATGTTTAGTCGGTGATCATGCGTTGGATAGATCTTTGTTGCCACATGGTCACTGAAATGTTCAAAATGCTAGAATCACCTTCTAGACAGGAAAGATTGATTTTTAAAAATAGACTTCAGAAGTGGGCGGCTCATTGGCTGTGTGCAGTTCAAAATGCTGAGTCCATTGCCCACAAGCCCCCCCCTAAAGAAATGGCCAGTTGAACCCCCAGAACTGCCCCCCCAGGTTGCGATTTCCTTCTCAGTGGTGAATCCTGTCATCCTCTCAGCCCAAAGTAGGTTTTTATCTTCATTTCCCTTTTTAAAAAATGAGCATTATTTTCAGGGGATGTCTTTCATGTGCAACAATCTACATTTATTCAAATACAGTATAGTCATCTTCAGGTTGCTGCACAAGGGTGGAGGGCAGGGTTTCACTTAACGGGCTTATTTTGGGGGTAGGGCTTATATTACGAGCATCTTGAAAAATCATACTAGGGCTTATTTTCAGGTTAGGTCTTATTTTCAGGGAAACGGTATTTATTTCAAGCAATTAGTGTGATTTGTACCTCATTTGGGGGAAAACATAGGAAAGCAGGATAGAAATGTGTTCTTACCAACTTGCTTCAACTTCCAAATATTTTGAATGCCAGTAAATTACCCCAAACAACCGATTCCAGATAACCCACCCCCAATTCAATGCTCGGCATGTATATTTGGTGTCCGGTTGCAGTGCGGAGAGAGATACACACCCTCACATAACTGTCCAGATACATCTTCCTGGTAGAAACATATGATAAAGTGTGGACCATCTTTTCTTAAAATAGACATTTTTCATTCCTGCTGCCTCTTACATGCCATAGGTTACACAAATCTGCCTAAATGCAAGGCAGCATTATCATCTGACGTCCAGAACCTGAACTACTCCTTTGAACCTATATATATATTTTTTTTCCACTTCAGCAGAAAACCTCCAGGAAATGCTTTCTGTCTCTTTCTTTGCCTACCAGCTCATGCCTCTGGGGGAAAAATTCTGCTGGTCCCAGAACAGGAAGAGAAAGAAAACCACAGATGGAGGTGGGGATCTATAGAAACAAGAGTGGGAAGAGGAAAGAACAGGAGAAGAGAGGTGTAAGGAGGGTGCAGAGTTAACTGCTCCTTCTTTTCCGATTCCCTTTGCTTTTGCATTGATCGCTGTGGCTCATTACCAGAACAACAGGTGGCAAGGCAAAGCAGACTTCTATTGTGTAGTAACACTTCCGTGTTCCATACAGATCATCCTATTGAATGAACCAGACCTTACACCTCAATTGCAGTAGGAACATGGTATAGTAGACCTATCTGGTAACTTTCATCCAATACTTTTGTCACTGTAGCACGGTAGGTAGAGGTGTGAAGAAGCAATTCCAGACTTGATGGCTACCACACTGGATTTTACATCTGCAATCACCCTGGTGTCATCACATTAGTACTCATTAAAATTATTAAAATTATTGCTCTTTAAATTTAAAAACAATGTTCAATTATTTCCTCCTTCTGTGCTACCAGAAGTTCGACATCATCATGGGCGTTTTCACCACGGTGCTGGCAAAATGCAGCAGTATCGAGCTATAGCAGCTTTGAATGATGGTTTTTATGGTACCCACAACTTCCTGTCACATGACTACCATTCCCACCTTCTGTCAAATGGCTGCAGCCCAGCCTGGTCAAGGGAGGGGTTTCCAAGACCTCCTTTGGCCATTCTTTGGGGGCCAGAGAGCTGAGAGAGAACCCCTTTTTGGAATCTGGGTTTTCCTTCTTTCCTCTCTGCCCTTTCCCACCTCAAAGACCAAAAACAGCTGCCTTGATGCTAATGACGGCCCTTTTTTTGCATGGCTTCTCTGGCACAGACACTTGCCTCGTGATGGTGGTATGCTTAATTTCCACAGTCTGAGAGCAGCCCAGGAAAAAAGCCCTCTGCTGAGAGGTGGGAAGGAGGGACATAGAGACAAAAGAAAAGATGGGGATCAGAAAGACAGAAAAGGAAACTATGAGGGATGGAGGGTATGCATGAACACACCCTGCAGTTCTCTCCCTTCCAGCATCCGTTGCTTTTGTAATGATTCCTGCACAGGACTGACCAGCTAAGGGCAGGTGAAAAGGGGAGGCCAGGAAGGAGGGCAAGATCACAAACCCAGGTAGAACGGGCAGTGAGGGACATGGCGTTTTCCTTTTTTTTTAAGTCCATGATTTCTCAAACCAGCCCCCCCCCCGAGCAATTCACCACCTTTTCAGTCTTGAGAAGTGTAGGGACATCCTTGTACAACTGCCTGTCAATCTTTATCTACTATGTTCACAGTACAGCTGGAAAGGGGCACATTGAAGGAGTTCCATATGGTAATCTGGACTCTGAGGTAACTAAGTGCCTCCTTATTTTCATTTCTTTCCTTATGGAGGTTGGACTTCCTGGCGGCTCCTTTAATTTTGGATATGGCAACTCTTTGGAAGCACAGCCATAATGACCAATTTTGAACGCAGGGAAGGAGACCTGCCTTCCACTCTCACAACCACACCGCTCCTTATCACTGTCAGTAGTTAGAGAGGACAGCCATGCTGCCATTATGTCCTCTTCCCTCCTGTAAATTTTCTCTTTCTTTGAGGCAGCGCAATGGTGGCCCAGGGGGTGGTACAGTACTTTGTTTTCTGCCTCAAGTGGCAGGAGAACTCTAACTGATTCTGTGGAGGATTCTCTTGAAAAGGAGTTAAGACCCACCTCTAGAGCCCTGGGACAAAGCTGTGGTTGGATCACCCCAATTACATATCTCTGGCATCCTATGAAAAATCCACATCTCAGATGTGTCAATCTCTGTTATAGTGACCTCTGTCAAAGTCCACAATTTCATGCCATCATCACATACAACACACGTTCTCCAAACCATGTTTCTGTTGTGTTGTGCAATCTCCCAGCATCAGGAGGCTGCTCCGAACCATCAGTGTTCTGCTTTGTGTGTATGCGTGTGTTAAGTGCCATCAAGTTGCACCTGACTTATAAGGACCCTAAATGGGGTTTTCCAGCAAAGTGGGAAAGTAGTTTTACCAGAGTCCTTCCTCCCCTCAAGCTTCCATAACCAAACAGGAATTAAAATCCTGGTCTCTTGTGTCCTAGTCCATTATTCTTTCTGCTACACTACACTAAGTGTGCTGGTTTTTGATTGTGTAGCTGTTCTTCCATTGGGTACATTAAACCAAATTCCAAGGTATACAAATTTGACAATATTCTCCCACATGGTCCTTTGAGCTCTTTAACTGCACTTCTTCACTTGCTCGCTTTTAACTGATTACCAAGAACTTGGTTTTCTTAATACCCATTTTTATACTGTGTTCAGTACCTCAGTGGCTTTTTGGGTCATCCTTGTGGACCATTTACCTGTTACGTTAGTAATACTATGTTGTCTGCCTGTAAGATGTGACTGATATCATCACCATTGACAAGGATACCATCAAGTGATCTGGAAAATAGTTCTTTGAGGATGTTCTTAGTAGACAAACTGGAAAGCAGTGGTGAGAGTAGACATCTTCGAGCTCTTTAACTGCACTTCTTCACTTGCTCGCTTTTAACTGATTACCAAGAACTTTTCTTAATACCCATTTTTATACTGTGTTCAGTACCTCAGTGGCTTTTTGAGTCATCCTTGTGGACCATTTACCTGTTACATTAGTAATACTATGTTTTCTGCGTGTAAGATGTGACTGATACCATCTCCATTGACAAGGATACTATCAAGTGATATGGAAAATAGTTATTTTAGGATGTTCTTAGTAGACAAATTGGAAAGCAGTGGTGAGAGTAGACATCTTCATTGTACTCGTCATCTCTCTGTGTCATTTTATCTTCAGTTTTTTGCTTTGCTTTTAATTGCCAGCACTGGTCCATACAGAGTTTTTAATTCACATTCCTTATTGATAGAGACGGTGAGGGACCACAGTCCAGCCAGGGATGTATCAACAGCTATCGTTCTACTTGCAAGAGGATTCCTCTAATAATAGGGAATACCTCAGCTACAGAAACAGGATCAAGCACCAGGGAATCCTCCACAGTCCACACTATACATCTCTTCATTCCTGGACAAATGCAGGGCTGCCCATGTTCCAGTGGCTCAAAAGTCACTGCCAGCAAACAGAGCCTGAAACGCTTATCACTCCAAAGTCACAGCATGTTTCCTGACAGACTTGCTTCTCTGCAGAATTTAAAATACGTACATTATTCCAGACAGATGAGGGAGAATAGTCCTCCTACAAGGCCCTGATGGTGCCCTGGATATAAAGGATAAAATGAAACTTTTGTTTTGTGGCTGGTATTTCAGGGCTCATTTCTGTCCTGAGATCACCAACCCTGGTAGTCACCTGGACTGAGTGGAAACTGTGAGGAAACATGGGCATTTAATTTTTAATGAGAAGCACGTTTTGAATATGTCATCGGGGACAGTATTTATTAATGACATTTCTGCCCCAACTCTCCACTTAGAAAAGGAGAAAATCTTTAATTTACAAACTAAATGCAATTAAAAGTGAAAGCATTACAATCTTAATAATCAAAGGGACTAAGTTTAAAAGGCTATTTTTTTTCCAGTGGTGTCTCACATCCTAAAAGCAGCTAGTGTGAAAACCACAATAACCATTCTCAAATCAGAGTTGTTATGATATAGCACAGTCATCAACTTAAGGAATCTCCCTTCAGTCATCTCTCTCCTGCCTTTTATTGCATAACTATGATCCCACACATACATTTTGGATCTTTAATTGCATTTCTTCAGTGGCTTGCTTTTAGCTTGATTTTCTTAACACTCGTTTTTACACAGTAAAAATCAGGAGTTCATTGGCTTCTTGACTAACATTTCCAGACGAAGATGGATAGCTCAATGAGCTGTGGACCTAGAAATTGGGAAATCAATTTCCCATTGTAATGTCCCAGTAGAAGAGCCAGCCTGTGTAGCCTTGGGCAAATCTGAGAGTGGCCTTAGAAAAAGGGAATGTTAAAGCCATTCTGAGTACTCTCTACCTAGAAAACCCTGGAAAACGTCACCATAAATCAGAATTGCCCTGGTAGCATGTCATTATTTTTCATAAATAAGACAGAGGTATTTGTGAGAAACAAAAGCAACAGGAAAAGCAATGTTTAATACGTGGAGATCTAAAACAAGACAAAACCACTGTGGTCTTACATTAAGAGAAAATAGAGATTTTAATTACAAACTAGCCATAGAATGTGCTATCAATCAGCATTAAAAAGCTTCTCCCTATGTAGGCTGATTGTACCCAAATTCCAATTGATGCCCTATTAGGGTTCTTTTTTTTTCCACTTAATGTACAGACTACCCAATTGTTGGCAATAAGCAAAATTAGTTACTTTTAAGCTAGAGCTTTGGGTCTCTTTGAATAGCAATAGTGATATCCACTTCCAACCTGACACCCTAGAAAAGTTCTTGTAGGGTAGAGCAAAAAAATAATGATAAAGTGGTTGGGGACTACAAATATGCCTATAAAGAAAAATAGTTTCCATTATGCTTTACACTTTTTGATTAAGAAGGACTGCGTCTTCTCAGAGCTGCATTACATGGGATTGCAACCAAAAGCAGGTCCATCTTAGGCTAAATACTGGCATGAGACCAATAGCTTATATGAAAATACATTGGGTTTCCCATATAACTGACTTTGCTACTTTCCTTTCCGAAACGAATCTGCAGAGGGAAGATAAAATTTGGAGAAAGGGAGGCTTGTAGGATAAATGGCTGTGAATGCCTGAATAGTATACTTTCATAAGCTTGTATGGTTGGCAGATGGATGATAAAACGTTGAGTGAAGAGCTAAATGTTGATTAGTTAGTGTGATGGGAATGTGTTGCGAGGTGGCAGCTGAGAGAGTCCATTCTAGGTAGTCTGTTTTTGACTGAGTTAAGAAGGGTCTGTTGAAGATACTAATGGGAGTCTGTTAGCTGATAGAAAGCTGAAATCTTATTTGTGCTGTATAGTCTGTGAAATAAGTTATTTAGAGAATGAATACAAAACAATATATTTATATTTTATAATTACTTTACTCTTTAAGTTATATACCCTAGTACCTCCTTTTCCCTTCCTCCCATTTGCCTGTTTTCCAAATAAAATTGTTTTATTTGTGCAGAACCAAACTCTACCCATTATTTTATATCATGAATAATTTGTAAGACACTCAGCAATCAACAATGAGAAGTATTACGCCCATTTCACACATGTCTACATATTACCAGAGGGAACAGAAGAGATTTTTATTTATTTATTTATTTATTTATTGTATTTATACCCCGCCTATCTGGAGATGGGATCAAGGTTGACACAGCCTTATTTATTTATTTATTTATTTATTGGACTTATATACCGCCCCATAGCGCTACACTTCCTCCCATTTGCCTGTTTTCCAAATAAAATTGTTTTATTTGTGCAGAACCAAACTCTACCCATTATTTTATATCATGAATAATTTGTAAGACACTCAGCAATCAACAATGAGAAGTATTACGCCCATTTCACACATGTCTACATATTACCAGAAGGAACAGAAGAGATTTTTATTTATTTATTTATTTATTGTATTTATACCCTGCCTATCTAGAGATGGGATCAAGGTTGACACAGCCTTCCATCCTTCTGAGGTTGGTAAATTGAGTACCCAGCTTGCGGGGGAAAGCAATGTGTTGCTTGCATAATTAAACTGTAAACTGCCCAGAGAGTGCTTTAAACACTATGGGGCAGTCTAGAAGCCGCACTCTTTGCTTCCGCTTTATATAAAATAGATACCAGGTCAGGGCAAAGAGGATCATGTGAGGTATAGTAAAAAGGGGCAACCCCAAAATATTAGGTCCAGGATTTGGGGAGTGGTTTGAGCTAACATCTATTCTAGTGTCACTAAGGAGCGGTGGCTAGGTTTTAGGTGTAGGAGCGTGTGAAAATTATTGGAAAGGTAATCACCTCAATGTTACCCAAATGCTAAACTGTAAAAAAGAGTTAACTCTCTATATATTCATATATCTCTTCCACTGTTGCACATTTATGAAGTTTCTTCTCCTCTGTGGGCTCTCCAGTTGACTCTCCAGGGGAAACATACTCCATATTCCTGTTATGCAAATGGATTTTCTCTCCTTTGAGGACTTCGTAATGGTTCACAAGAAAAGATCTGTAAGCCATATTATTTTCACACACTACTAGCATTTGCACTTTTCTCCCTGTGTGTGTTCCCAAATACATAAGGTTTGACAATTCAACGAAACATTTCGCACAGTGCTGGCATTTCTGTGGTCTCCACACTGTTTGCATGTTCCTAGTAGGCATGAGATTATTGGACTACAAATCCCATAATTTTCTATTCTGGGAGTTCCACCAGACAGACCCACCCCTACAGACACTTAAATACAGTATGGCTCACCTGAAGAAAAGGCCTAGGTGTGATGGCTTCATGGCCTAACATAGACCCAATTATGTCCTAGCTTCCTGTGCAGAAAGGAAGCTGCCAGCTAGTATTGGGCCAACATGCTTTCTACACAGGAAATTAGGATGGAAATAATCCTCTGACAGAACATGAAGCCTTTCCAACTAGCTCTACTTCCACACGTCACACTAAGATGTCTGTAGAAGTGGATCTGTCAGAACTCCCAGAAAAAAGAATTATGGAGTTTGTAGTCCAAAAACCCATGCCTATTTTTTAGCATTCTATCTATCACGACTCAACTGGCAATAAAAACATTACCAGTTTGAAGCATGGAGGTAAACCAAACAAAATAGATCACCAGGGAAGAACGCATATTATCTACCTAGGCAGAAAAATATGCCAAATCCAGAATGTGACACCAGACTAGCAGTGATATACGTGAAAATGATTAAAGGGTCTTATTAGAACATAAACATGAATCAAGAGTGAAATACAACAGCAGAATACCCTCTTTAAAACAATACTAAGGCAGAAGGGGAAGATATGGAGGCAGGGACAGATTTTATTTTCCTGGGCTCCATGATCACTGCAGATGGAGACAGCAGCCACGAAATTAAAAGACGCCTGCTTCTTGGGAGGACAGCGATGACAAATCTTGACAGCATGTTAAAAAGCAGAGACATCACCTTGCCAACAACAGTCCGAATAGTCAAAGCTATGGCTTTGCCTGTCGTGATGTATGGAAGTGAGAGCTGGACCATAAAGAAAGCAGACCGCAGACGAATTGATCCCTTTGAATTGTGGTGCTGGAGGAGACTCTTGAGAATCGCCTGGACTGCAAGGAGAACAAACCTATCAATTCTAAAGGAAATCAACCCTGAGTGCTCACTGGAAGGACAGATCGTGCAGCTGAGGCTCCAGTACTTTGGCCATCTAATGAGAAGAAAAGACTCCCTGGAAAAGGCCCTGATGTTGGGAAAGTGTGATGGCAAGAGGAGAAGGGGATGACCAAGGATGAGATGGCTGGAGTGTCTGCAAAGCAACCAACATGAATTTGACACAACTCCGGGAGGCAGTAGAAGATAGGAGGGCCTGGCGTGCTCTGGTCCATGGGGTCACGAAGAGTCGGACACGACTAAACGACTAAACGAACGAAACGAAGTATGGTCAACATATGTTTAGTACCTAGAGGAAGGGAAGTATGCTGTGTTCACCTCTGAGCACAACTTGACAATGATAGTGAAATGCAAAATTATGACCAGGATGGTAAATGCCATTTACACTGCATGCTTCTCTCCTATGTGAAGTGCCTGGTGCCTGACAAGGTGTGAATTCTGAACAAAACATTTCCCACACTCTTGGCATTTGTATGGTTTCTCTCCTGTGTGGACTCTGCAATGGATCACAAGTTCTGTTTTGCGAGCAAAACATTTTCCACACTCCAGACATTTGTATGGTTTCTCTCCTGTGTGGATTCTCTTGTGCTTCTGAAGGTTTGATATCTGAGTAAAACATTTCTCACAGTCCTGGCATTTGTATGGTTTCTCTCCTGTGTGGACTCGATTATGCCTCACAAGCTGTGTATTACACGAAAAACATTTTTCACACTGCTTACATTTGTACGGTTTCTCTCCTGTGTGGATTCTCTGATGGATCACTAGTACTGAACTGGCAGCAAAATGTTTCCCACACTCCTGGCACTTGTAGGGTTTTTCCCCTGTGTGAACTCTATGGTGTTTTAAAAGCTCTGCCTTTTGAGGAAAACATTTCCCACATTCCTCACACCTGAATGGTTTCTCTCCTGTGTGAACTGTCTGATGTGTCACTAGATGTGAATTCCGAGCAAAACATTTTCCACACTGCTTACATTTGTATGGTTTCTCTCCCGTGTGGACTGCCTGATGTGTCACCAGTTGTGAATTCCGAGCAAAACATTTCTCACATTCTTGACATTTGTATGGTTTCTCTCCAGTGTGAATTCTCTGATGGATTGCAAAGTCTGAACTAGAAGCAAAATATTTTCCACAATCCTGGCATTGGTATGGTTTTTCTCCTGTATGGATCCTCTCATGCCTCACAAGCTGGGAATTCTGAGTAAAGCATTTCTCACAATATTGGCATTTGTATGGTTTTTCACCAGTGTGGACTCTTTCATGCTTCCGAAGGTTTGAAATCTGAGCAAAAGATTTCTCACAAGCCTGGCATTTGTATGGTTTCTCTCCTGTGTGGACTCTTCTGTGCCTCACAAGCTGGGAATTCTGAGCAAAACAGTTCTCACACTCCTGGCATTTGTATGGTTTCTCTACTGCATGGATTCTCTGATGGATCAGGAGGACTGACCTGGCAGCAAAATATTTCCCACACTCCTGACATTTGTACGGTTTCTTTCCTGTGTGCATTGCCTGATGAGTTACAAGGTGTGTCTTCTGAACAAAACATTTTTCACACTCCTGACATTTGTGTGGCTTCTCTCCTGTGTGGATTCTCTGGTGGTACAGAAAGCTGGATATCTGAGAAAAACACTTTCCACATTTCAGGCATTTGTATGGTTTCTCCCCTGTATGAACTCTACGGTGTGTCACAAGGTCTGCCTGTTTAGAGAAACATTTACGACATTTCTGGCATTGATATGGCCTCTCTCCTGTGTGTACTGTATGATGTGTCAACAGTTGTGAATTCTGAGCAAAACATTTTCCACACAGGTTGCACGTGTATGGTTTTTCTCCTGTGTGAATTCTTCTATGGATCACAAAGACTGAACTGGAAGCAAAACATTTTCCACAGTCCTGACATTTGTATGGTTTCTCACCCGTGGGGATTCTTGTATGCCTGACAAACTGTGAATTCTGAGCAAAACATTTTTTACAATCTTGGCATTTGAATGGTGTTCCTCCTTTATGGACTGTCTGATGCCTAATAAGATTTGAAGGCTGGGCAAAATAGTTTTCACACTCCTGGCATTTATATGGTTTCTCTTCTGTGTGAACTGTTTGATGAGTCACAAGATGTGCCTTCTCAACAAAACATTTTCCACACTCTTGACACTTATATGATTTTTCTCCCGTGTGGATTTTCTGATGGTAGAGGAAGCTTGAAATCTGAGTAAAACATTTTCCACACTCATTGCATTTGTACAGTTTTTCTCCTGTGTGAATCATGTGATGGTTCACTAGGACTGATTTTTGAGAAAAACATTTTCCACACTCCTGACACTTGTATGGTTTTTCTCCTCTGTGCACTGCCTGATGTGTCACTAGTTGTGACTTCTGAGCAAAACATTTCCCACACTCATTGCATCTGTATGGTTTTTCTCCAGTGTGGACTGCTTCATGGTGCACAAGCTGTGAATTCCGAGCAAAACATTTCTCACAATCCTTGCATTTGTATGGTTTTTCGAATGTGTGAATTCTACGATGGATCACAAAGTCAGAACTGGAATCAAAACATTTCCTACACTCATGGCATTTGTACAGTTTCTCACCTGTGTGGATTCTTGTATGCCTGACAAGCTGGTAATTCTGAGTAAAACATTTCTCACAATCTTTGTATTTATATGATGGCTCTCCTCTGTGGGCTCTCTCGTGCTTCCAAAGATTGGATATCTCAGCAAAACATTTTTCACAATCCTGGCATTTGTATGGTTTTTCTCTTGTGTGAATTCTCTGGTGGTTTGCAAACCGTGAATTACAATCAAAACCTTTACCACACTCCTGACATTTGTATGGTTTATGTCCTTTGTGGGCTGCCTGATGTCTCATAAGGATAGAATGCTGAGCACAACATTTTTCACGCTCTTGGCCTTTATGTGGTTTCTCTCCTGTGGCAAGACTGTGGTGCTTCACAGGATATGCATCCTGAGGAAAACATTCCTCAAGCACTTCACAGTTTAAATGTTTCTTTGCAGTGTCGATGAAACTGTGACCTTTAAGCATCATCTTTTGGCCAAAACATTCCCTAGATCTAATGTATTTCTGGGATTTCTCTCTGTAATGATAGTCCTCCTGTCCATTGGTTTGTTGGTGTTTGGCAAGATCCAATTCAACGCAGGCCTTTGTTGATCTCCAGTTATCTGTGAATAAGAAGGAGAAGCAGAAAATAATTTGAACTCTGATCCTAGGAGAGAAGGAACCTCAGAAAGAAAAAGGAGACTTAAGAAATTATGAAGATCCAGGAGGGAAAAGGAAAAGGAGACATGGTACACCTTTCTCCTTTATATATTCCCTATCTCTTTGAGTTCTAGACAAATGTTTTTTTATTCTACCAAGCGTTATAAAAACTGTTTTTTATCTTCTTAGATTTTAGCATTTTTTTTGTCATTTCCCTAAGAATTTAACATTTGGTTTACGTCCTGCAATGTTTGGAGGGCTTGGTTTTAAAATTCCGTTCATTGCTTGTGGTGTTTTAGAATGATACACAAGCATCAGCTTTAACTGAACCTCACCTTTAGCGTTTCTTTAGCAAAAGATTTAAACATTCCTGGTTAGCTCTGAACCTACATGCACATTTTTCTTCATAGGAGGCAAAGTACAAGAAGGCATCCTTTTCTTTTAAAAAGCCTGCTTCATCCACATTAAAGACAAGTTCAGGAGGATGGTTGCTTGCCTCACTGATGGTTTTCAGAATTGCAGGAAATTCCTCGGCTACCCTAGCATCAGCGCTAGTCCCTTCACCAGTGATACGTATGCTGTTGACGTTTGAGTGCTTTTTAAATGTCAAATCATCCACTGCTCACTGCATGTGCTTCTGACATATCTCCTCTTTCTCCCTGAATAGGTTTGAAGAACATCTTGCCCTTTTCATTATTATCAGTTGGCTTAAGGGCATCTTCCCATGCATTTGATTATCCACCCAAATACTGAGCCTTCTTTTCCTTTCTTCAAGCAAATGACTTCTGGAATGAGTTGCCTTAGTTCCTGGCTATTTTGAGGTTCTGGTTGCAGATGCTATTATATTATCTTTATTATTTATTGTTGTTCTTATTGTGGATGTTGATTTAAAGAAGCATCCACAACAACCTGATGCTCACCCACTTTCAAATCTCATAAAAACTAAAATCTTAGATCCAAAGAAATACCCTTTCTTTGCATCTTAGATGAAGAAATATCACCTACGGGCCTCTTTCCAGCCATGATTGGTAAAAGGCCATGACAGCTAAAATAGCCACTCTTGGGAAGTTATGAGCAAATGCACTGAATCAGAGAAAAGAGACAACGCAAAGCAGTTAGCAGAGATGCAATCAAGCAATTGGCTACAGGAATCATAGAAGTGCAGAACTGGAACAATTGTAAGGGTCATCTTGCAATTCTTCTCTTTCCATACATTTACATGAACTACTTCATCACCTGACTGGGCACCAGCTAGATTTGCCCTTCCTTCAGCTCCCTGACTGAACACTCCTTCTTCCTCTTCTGGCTTTATGGCAAAGTTAGGAATTCCTGAAGGAAAGAAGCGGAAGCAGGTGGTCAGCAATGATGAAATGTTTCATCACCTAACTGGTGACAGGAATCATAAAACAACCTCACAGGATCATAGAATAGCATTCCATAGTCCTGTTCATCTGGAGGTCTGAGGTTCACCTCACTGCACCCTCTACAAATGGAACTCTATGAGCCTCTACCTCACCTGATCCACTTTCCTTGGAGCCTGGACGGTACAGCGACTCTTCCTCCTCTGGCCTTAGAACAATATCAAGTCCTGAATCGAAGGACAGAGAGACAGGGTCATGTTTCGTAGAGCGACAGGGCTCCACCAAGTAGCTGGCTTTAGGGATCGCAAACTCCTAGAACTGTAGAGTTCCTTCCAAAGAGTCATCTGGTCTAAACCTCTTCTGAAGCAAGTACACAAAATGTTCCCTCCTCACCTGAATGATCTCCGGGAACGGGTGTCGTTTCCACGGATGCCTGCTTCCACAGCCCCTGTTTCTCCTCAGGCTTTACGACAACACCAGCAAATCCTGAATTGAAGGAAGGGGAGAAGAATACACAGTCAACGGAGATACAACTTTTCATTCATAGAATCACAAAATCATAGAAAAGTGAGGTTGGAAGGGGCCTACAAGGCCATCAAGTCCAACCCCCTGCTCAAAGCAGGAATACCATCAAAGCATATCTGCAGGCAACTATCTAAGTTTTTCTTGAATGCCTTCAATGTTGGAGCACTCACCAATTCCCGAGGGAACTGGTTCCATAGCCATACTGCTATAACAGTTAGGATGTTTTTTTCTGATATTCAGCCAAATTCTCGCTTCCTTTAACTTGAGCCCACTGTTGCATGCCCTGCACTCTGGGAAGATCGAGAACAGATCCTGCCCCTCCTCTGCATGACAGTCTTTCAAATATTTGAAAAGTGCTGTCATATCACCCCTCAGTCTTCTTTTCTCAAGACTAAAAGTTCTTTCAGCCTTTCCTCAAAAGGCTTGGTTTCCAGTCCCCTGATCATCCTTGTTGCCCTCCTCTGAACTTGTTCTAATTTATTCATTGCCTACAAGAATCATAAAACTAGAATTACTAGAATGAAAAAACAACAACTGCAGAGCAGGAAGTCCCACCAGTTATTTAGCTGAACCTGCTCCCAACACAGTTACATGGATTGCTCTCTCACCTGAGGGAACACCAGCGATGCTTCCACTTTCCTTGGACAATTCCTCTTCCTCCTCTGGCTTTACAACAGAATCAGGAAATCCTGAATAGAGGGGATAGAACACAAGGAATTGGCTGTAACAGCTGCAGTGCTTCTAAAGCCCAATGGCTTTGAGAATCATGGACATCTAAAACTGCGGAGTTTAGAAGGAACTCCAAGGGTCACCTAGCCTAGTCCTTTGCAAATGCCCATGATATGAATGGGTTATTCACCTGATTGGCCCCAGGCAACACTTGCACCTTCCTCAGCATCATGGCTGTACAGCCCCGCTTCCTCCTCTGGTTTTATGACAATGTCAGCAAATCCTGAATCGAGGGAAAGAAGCAAGAAAGATAAATGCAATGCTTCAACTACCGTAATTGTCTGCAAGCATCATAAAATCAGAGAATCATTGAACAGCTGAACTGGGAAAGGCCCTAAAGATCAATTGACTTATTGACTCTTATCAGTGCAGTTATAGGAAGTTCCCCTCACCTGGCTGGTCACTGGAAGCCCTTGTCCATTCTTTGGATCTCTGATTATACAGCCCTTGGGCCACTTCTGGTTTTATGGCGACGTCAGGAAAATCTGAATTAAATGAAAAAAGCAAGGAAACGTTTCACTAACCCATTGGCCGGAGTGGTCAAACTTTGAAAATGTGCTCACTCTGGCTTCGGCCGACAAGAACAGTTGTTCAAAACATCTGCAGGTTACAGTTCAATGCATTCCAATGGGGGAGAAAAAAAATCACCAAAAATTCATGTGCTCACTCTGGCTTCGGCTGACAAGAATCATTGTTCCAAACATCTGGTGAACACTAGAGAAGTTGTCCTTCAATGTGGGAAGTTTTCAATTTAATGGTTTGGCCATTTTTGAAACTTAAAAGTTGAAATATTTTTTTCAGGTACGTACTCCTTAAAACTGTAGATAGGAAACATTGTGTGAGAAAACCCATTTTGACCAGGAGAGAAGGACGGGGAGACAAGGAGAACAGTGGGAAGACACAAGTACGCCTCATTGGACCACAGAAAAGAGGGTGTTTCCCCTTTTTCCTTTATGATCCTCTTTTTCTTTTCCTCACACATCAATCTATGCAAAGTAAATCAGTTAAGGGGTATTTAATTGGCATAGCAATCAAAGGGATATTCTGTATACCAGCTTCTGCCAATATGAATTCACTAGCCATGCTAGCGACTGAGAGTGGGGCTAAAGAACAGCTCATTCTATGGGTATGCTTTCCTGCTTTGGATACGTTTGTGGACAGGCAAAGCAAAGCAACGCAGAGCAAAGCAAAGCTTATATACTGCCCCATACAAATTAATGCACTCTCTGGGCAGTTTATAATTTAATTATGCAGGCTACACATTCCCCACCCCCCAGTGTCTCAAGTATTCAGTTTACCAACCTTGGAAGGATGGAAAGATGGGTGGACCGTGAGCTGGCTACCTGGATTTGAACCTGATTTGTCTGCAGAGTTTCAGCTGCAGTACTGCAGTTTAACCACTGCACTATGAGGTTCATACACCCTGTTATAACAAGGTATTACACTTCAACATGGACCATCAGATGTCTTATTGTTTTAAAGAGGCCTGTTTAGCAACAAAGCCTCTACTACAGCTGTTTAGTTTTTTTGGGGGGGGAAGTCAAGTGGCTTTAGAGTGAAAATCATGAGTGATCTGGATCTTCTACTTAATACTCATAGATCAGTTTCAGATCAGTTATAATCCTGCCAACTTCTCAACACCACAGCTTACCTATGGTGTAAATGGCCAGAAAGCTTTTCTATATTG